GCCCATCAGCGCGCGCCATACACGACCTGGTTTCACTGTAAGTATCAGGACACTGTGGGGGGGGGGGCGTTCAAATATCAAATGAGCGAAAAAGCGATAAAGGCCACATCGAGGAGCCGTTGCAGACTATCGGTCCTGAGTGCGATCGACTTACCCTCAACTGGCACTCTTCTACGGCACGATTTAAAGGTAAGCTTCATTATGGTGAGGAATGTGTTGATCTGCCGTGGAGATCAATTCATCAGTGGCGGCCCCTTCCCACTCCCATGCATCAGTCGACTGTCCGAGCCTGTCAAGCACCTGGCGATGAGAAGGGGTGTATTGGCTGACGAGACCTACATCAGATACACGCCACCACACAAAGGTAGGGCATTAGTTACCAACTCGCGCGGACTCAGTGCAGCACGATAAATGCCCGCTGTGAGCTAAACTGACCAATTTTAGTCTAGAGCATATGCAGCGTAACTTGTTGTGGTCATGCGGGTTGTGCGGACGATCAGGCAAACTCCCTTGCACAAGCCCAGACTAACATCCGCACGCACGCCTGCAAAACAGCTCAACTGTTGGAGGTGGAGGATGTCACGCAGATGCGCATGAAAGTGCGCACGCAGGCCCCCCAAAAAACGACTGTGCAAAAAGTGGACTAGATAATGATAGAACTGGATCAACTCGATATAGGTGGCAAGGCTTGCAAGACATGTATTTTCTAATGACTCACTCAGGCATGAGTTCGAAACATCAGAATATACTTGGCCTTCTGATGATCTAACCCTCGTCTTTTTCCAGAACAGCACTTTTAATGAAATACTGTATTCTAAAGCATGAGCGTTTCCAGCCTTAAGAGACGGCAAAATCACTCAGATACTTTTAAATGGTAGCGTGGGTGAAGTACGAGCGCCCTTCCCACTTTGATAAACTTTCAAAGGAAGATTCCCTGAGCCTGTCCATATGCCCTGCCCTCAGGTAAGGAAAGGTACTTAACCGTCAAAAACCAGTGATTTGAGGTTAAGCCGCGGTAATCGCGTATTCCCTCGGTCAAATGCGAGAATTGTGGACTTGAACACTCGAGTTTCGGTAACAAAGGCGTTTTAACGTAGATTTTGCCTTTTTTGGAAGGGCGCAGGGCAAATTAAACTCGGTTCTTTTATAACACAGAAATGGCCAAAAAGGATACAACGTTCCGGTTCTAACCATACTGTATCTAAGCAACTTAGATATTACACTGGCAGGTCAAGCGACTTGGGCGTCTTATCAGAAAATTATCTAATTAACAATAGTCGTGCCCGCCCAAAACTAAGCCCTTCAAGCCTAATGTATAACAAACGATGAAAAAAGGGAGGTTTCGATGAGAAAAACGGCGACGTCAGCGTTGTGGAAAACTTCTGATGAACATGTCAAGCTTTAGCGTTTTGCCAGCTGTGGCAGAGGCAACTGCAAACACTCAGAGCAAATGTATCTGAAGATGCCAGAAACAAAAGTGTTCTCTGAAAGTTTTATTTGATGATAAACTACAATATTTACCTGGTAATATAAAAACAAATAATTCGAAGGAAACCAAGTTTACGCGAACGGAAGAAGCAACGCAACATTAAAAGGTGCTTGGGTTGCTTAGGGACTTTAAAAGTTTTGAAGTGTTAACCCGGAAAAGCGCTTTTTCGAAATTATCTGCAACTGTTTCTAACTTCAGTAAAAATGCTCTGAAGATTGTTTAAATTGTGCCTAAAACCTCAGTAATGTCGCTTAAAAGACCAAATACTGTCTACCGAAACCATACCGGTTCCCGCGAAGTGAAAAAGGTTGGAAGGGTTGGGAAACGTGTACAGACCCTCATGAGGGAACATGGCAGACCAGAAGGTAAGACAGACCCGTTTCCACTGACGAAGCACTGCACATATTGTGGTCACGCCTTTGCATTTCAATCCTCACGATCAACCGAAACACTCGAGGACTTGCACACGGACAGAACTTTCATCAACCACTGTGTGGCTCTTTCGTGCGCAGCTGAACCAAAGGATTCAGCCACGAGAGCCCAGACCAAGCGCCGACGCAGGCACAGGAGAACCTCCCCCGCGTGCAAACTCATAAAGTCAATAACCCAGGTTGTATGGGGGCGCAACAGTCAAAGCTGGTTGAAAATTACCACGAACGAGACAAGAGGCCTGGGCGATAACTTAAAACGGCGTGGACGCGAACTGCGACCGCCAAAAGCCCGGCACCGGCAAGCAAAAGATCAGCACACCAACCAACGACCACTTTATGCACACAGCTTGTATGCCCTAAGGACAGGGTTGGTTGCCTAGATAGAAAGGGTAGTGTCAACAAAATATCATGAGACAGATGCAATGCAGTCTACTTTGCCCAACCAGGAAAATCCGCCTCTACTCCCATACATGATCATTAGCTATTGGTGAGGAGGCGAGACCACCTATCCCAACTGGCAATACACACAATGGACACTGGATACAAAGTTGCATGGGAGAGAGCCTGCACTTTTGCTGCCTACCTAACAGAAAAACACCCCAATTTCCAGATACAATTCACTGATATGAGGTACAAATCAATTGGCGCATCGATCTAGATGCCTATTTCAAGTTTCTCAAAGACAAAGGAAAACGAACGCAACGAAATTCGAGGGGGTAATAGGGTGCGATTTAAGCGTATTGACGCAGACTTCGTCAACCATAGAATCCCTTCTTAGACACGGTTAATTAATAAATTAATTATTTTGCGCATCACCCATAGTCTAACAACGAGTTAGAACACCGGTCCCGGGAAATTGCGTAATAAAAGTTATTGGCCCCGGAAAATTCATTTCTATCTAGATGTATATAATTAACTTGTCCCTTGACTGCCATTTGTCCAATACGCGCAGCTTCTAAATAAAATATGCGAGCAACAACAAGTTTCTCGCTGAAACAGGGATGACTTCGAAACGGAAAACACCTCTATTGCAAATAATTAAATCCACATGTTCCTTCAGGTGAAGTTAATTTGCAAGCAGCTATCATGCGAAACGCGTATAAAAGGAAATATGAGAGGTGAAAGGCGATCAAAAATGCAGTTAACGAAACACAAAACAACAAAAAGAGTCCAAATTGATAACAAAGCACAAGTGGTTGAAAAGTAGGTAGATAAAAGTAAGTTTCGTATCTCATCGTGATTTCTTCTTCGAGGATCTGGGAAAATACAAAGCAGGAGTAAAATAAACTAAGAGTAAATTTTAAAATAGCGCTTGGCACTGGCCCAAGACACCCAATGAGACGTAAATTTTAGTCAGTTTTTGAGTGAGAATAAAATTAAAACTTGAAAGTGATAGAAGACCGAAATCCAAACTGCCATCTCAAGTGAAATGGGCAAAACTTGTAGAGGAACACAGAAGGTAGATTATGATTAATACCCAACTATTTTTTTCAAATGGGACGGGCGACTTCCGCCAGCACAGACGGATTTTGAGCGGCAGTAAGCCGTGGCTATTTCGCTCTAATTCCTTAACTCAAGAAACAGGGAAGAGGCGAAAAACAGCCACAGACCTCGAAGTACACATAAAAATGGGCAAGCCACGAATAATATCCAAGTCTGGTTTAAAATCATATTGATGCTTTTGGAGTATTCTGCTCCGAAAGGTTAGATGCAAAAACAAAAAAATGCAATCGGAAAACACGCGTCTCTGTTTTGGCAACTGATCTTGAGCCGCAGACAAAAACAGTAGTGGTGCCAGTCTTGTGTGGCAGTTTTGTGTAAACCGGCTAGCTCTAGACCTACCCCCACGAACCAAATGATTGATTTGGCCCCTTCCAGTGGGCGATCGTAGAACTACGTTTGACAACTCTATGGGAAGCGTTGTCATGGGCCACATCCCACCCAAAAAGGATACTAAAACAATGTTACCAACTGAATTCTCCCATTGACAACTTATGAACACTGTAGATAAGCTTCAATAGACCTAAAGAAACTTTAGAGAGATGAAGGTAGGGTCGAGGGCGATTCTACTCAGTGGTATGATAATTTAATTTAATAAGCTGTGTGCTAGAAACTACTATTTTAACCGATATCTTAGCCCACCCCAAGCACGATATTGCTTGGGAGATAATGGTCGTGTGGATAAAAATAGTGAAGGGAGATCGGGGATTGGGAAAGGAAAGAGAAATGGAATTGGCTGTTGCGATGATGATGATGATGATGGTGGTGGTGGTGGTGGTGGTGGTGGTGGTGGTGGTGGTGGTGGTGGTGGCTCCGACGTTTATTATTGGTATTGAGAACGAGGAGGATGACAACAATGACAATTCGTTTGATGGCAACTCGTCCAAACCAGATTGGTCATTTCTAACTCTTCAACCGCTCTTATGAAAGATTCGGCGTTCGGGACTTCTCAAGCGATAAAACTATACTTTGTACAATTGGGTTTGACGTGAAATAATGAGTAAGGCAAGGGTGTCTATTAATAACTAGTACGCGTTCGTCCAGGTAAAATAACTTACGTTGTGTCTTCTCATTTTTCATAGGGGTACCCGTAGATGTAAACACGTTCCTTTTTGAAAGCGGTACGTTGAAATAAAGTGGAATCATACCTCAACTGGGAGTTCCAGTGCCTTAGCCGCCTCTTGTACGGCGGCTTCCAGCTTCCGTTTATATCTGCTGTGCTGCGAAAATTTCAGACACGACCGTAACTTAGTTTTTACGAACAACATAACAATAAAACAACATCAGCGTTTAAACAGATTCATGTCAAAGTAGCCCAACACAGGGTGCAACTCCTAGAAGTAGTAGCAGCAGTAACACGAAAATAAAATTCGAAACATGCAGGCTAGTTCCTACCCAGTCACTGGCAGACCATCCTACAGGTTTTACCTAACACGCAAATTTCTTTCACATTTTACTATTTCATTGTGCAACGACATGGTAATTACCTGAAATTTTTATCATCGACACTTTCATTGAAAGCGGTGCTCCCCTGTGCGCTGCCCGCGTGGCTAATTATTCCGCCCAGGCAAAATGCTGACACAGAATATTAAGGCGCCGAAGAACCATGACCAGAACAATTGGCAGCTGAAACGGTTGTCATCTCACAAGAATTTCGGTCTCGTCGAGCTTCAAGGCGTAGCTGGGTACCATCGAATTAGCTGCAAATTGGGAAATAACTTCATTTTTCCTCACTGCCGCTGCATGCTCTGCCATCTAAGTACGGAGCGATCTCCCAACTTCTCTAACGTAGCTGGTTTGATCGGAACTGTCAAACGCGCAACAGTAGTGCGAGGAAAGACGCCAGCTCCCAACTAGCGGCTCATTCGAGGGGACAGGGCCACACCTTCAAGTTCAACAAGACCGAACTTCGATTAATGGGGTCGAATACGAATCCGAAAGGTCGTGTGAATAAAATTTTCATATCAGAAGTCGCATCTTTTTCTCTCTCGCTATTTTAAACTATCCCATGAAAACGCATATGCAACATAGTATGACAAGAATGTCAAAACTTTTTCGCCTGCCTTACTCGTTTCTCCAAACGAATCACAGATGCCTTGTCAAACCGACGAATTCTGTTTGCGGGAATCAGTTGTGTTGTTCGGTTCTCGGGATCAAGGAAGACAACGCGGTAACTTTTCACTTCTCCCGTCTTTGGGCAAAATTCTGCAAAACGGCCTTCGGTGTCACAGTCGACCATCGACGGCCACTCGGGGTAGCCTAAAATGGCAAAAAAGCTGAAAACTTCTCCAAGAAAAACCGAAAACAGCATTTCAGTGCTTTTGAGCGTACTTAGCTCAGGGAGCTCAAACTGCGTCTACGTTAGCGACAGGGAATTTTGATAACATGATGTGTTGCGCTCCAAAGTCGCGTATACACAAAGAAGATCATTGCGCCCGGTACATTAGTTTGAACATATGCCTCGCTGTGTATGGCTCCTATGCGTGCTCTGGGTGATTGCATTGCACTAAGCTTTGCCGTAGAAGACATAGGAACCAACAAAAGGTCCTTTTGGCTTATTCGCGCTGTCAACCGGTAATGTCCCCGCACCAGAGAGTCAGCATTGAAGTGACCGCTTTGCCGAATGAAAGCGGAATTATTTGGAGTCATCCAAGACTGGTGATCATTAATATGACCTGATTGCAGGACGAAATATGAGTCAACTTTTCAACCGAGGATTCGGTCTAGAGCTCTCACAGACTGGCGCACTTTTATGAGAACTGACGCCTCAGTCCGACCCATTTGTCGGATCAGATGAGTGATGTCCAGTCCCATATGCATTTGAGTGCCTTTTGCATATACGCCGACTCGTGACGGGAAATAAGCCAAAAAATAGGCATTTTGGCATACTCTGTCTTTAACAGCAAAAAAACTGATTATTTAATAAGCCGAGCCATAGAGCCGTTTTCGAGAAACCTAACCCAGCGTTCGAAGTCGAAAATGAATGTCTGTATTCTTTCCTGTGGCCAGGATACATCTAAGAATATCATCCCACATTTTAATCTGTGAATTTAGGACCAGAGAAAAAATTCTACTTCGAAAGCAAATTGCAGTAGAATAATGGACAGTAGTTATCGTAGGAAGACATCCCACGGGATGCTTGCAGTACTGACTTCTTGCGTAGGTAAAAAGAGGTAGACGTGCGAAATACCAGATGAGGATATAAAGAACTTGGTTCGAAAGCCTGAAGATGGATCAGACATTTTCTTGGATATGCACCGATAAATATAAATGTTCCTTTAGGGGAAAAACGGTCGCTCGCAATTCTACTTAACCATTTACTAGTGATCTAGACTGTCAGTCAAGTCGAAAAATACAGCCGAATTGTGCGAGACTGATGTTATCACAGCTTCTACTTAAGTGATCTGGAACAATGCCCGGCGTTCGCTTAAATAAACCAAACTGAAGAAAAATTCAAGTTGCCGCAATGCGATAGAATATATTTTTTGATATTTAAATTAACAACAGAAGTTGACCTGCCACCAATGCGTCAACGTAAACACAGGTTACACTGTTGACCTGCACTTAGCCACTTACACGGTCGACTCGTCAATGACTTGGTTGGACTACCTCTAAACACTGCCAATAGACTAGGCCACAATGTTTCATACCCTAATGATAATCTCGGTCCTAGGCCCAAAACGTCAGTCAAATACACAGCATGTTACCTAACGCATGAAACGTGATGACGGAAATTAATATGATGATTTTGGACACCTAAAATGTTGCGTTTTTTGCTCGTTGGCCCGGCCCCTTCCGGAAGATGTGCTTTTTTCGTGCAGAATGTGTCCAAGTAATTTTAGCAGACAAAGTGTCTATAAATTTAAGTCTAAATCTAAGATACCCTATCTTGGGCAATTCCCTGTATTGATAGCTGTCACAGACCTAGTTTACGCATCTGAGCTTGTTTTTCTTGCAAACAAAACCTGTTGTACTTGGTAATTCATTTTTGTTCGTTGTTAGCCGTGTGATACAGTTTGGAGACAAAGTGGTTATTTTTAGAAATCCAGACGTTTTATTGATGATTAAGTCAGATTCGTAAATCTGTGATTTTGAGCCCTAAAGTGCAGTAATAACACTGCCTTGCTGTTTGCGAGTACAATATGAGAAACCGCCACAATGACCATCAAAAAATGATCGTTTTAGATTTTGAACACATGTACAGGTATTTTTGTGCGTTCCAGTTTCCGCCGGCCTGCTAACATGTGATTTTATGGAAACTTTTATTCCTGTGACATCTCTGTGAGCGACACCAAGCAAAATCCTCTTTTCTTTAATCGACTGCATCTTGAACAATACAAAAACGGAACAAGATCTTGAAACACATGACCAGACATTACACACCTAGCTTTGTGCCAGACTTCATATAACACTTATTCTTAAAGGATATTTAGTAAAGATGTGACTTTTTAAACGTAACTCTACTTATACCGTTTTATTTAGTCAGTTATTCAGGTGGACGAGCATTATGTACTTCTAACATTTGAGTTTACTCATGTGACACGAATTTTCTTGTTTTTTGACACCTCAGAACTTCTTCTGAAAATTGCTTTTTCTAATTAACGAAAAATTAACTGCAGTGAACGTTTTGCGTTTTCATTCAACTGGAGGTCGTTTTGGTATTTGGAGTTTTGGTAAATACATTCGGAATGGCTTCGGGTTCGTTAGTGATTTTTCGTCAATTGACGAATTTCATGAAATCGATTATCAACTGCGCATATATTTCCGGAGATCGGACTCCGCCTTCAGTAGGGTAGTTAACTATCAGACTATGGGCTAATATAAATGCTAACTCAAACCACGTAAAAGAATATCCTAGAGCAAACTGTGATAAGCTCAAAATCTATTTAAACGGTCTCGAATTGGAATGAATATTCCAGATGGGACCTTTACACGGCAATATGAACAGTGGATGTTCCCAACACAAACGTTCCTTGTCCCCGTGACGGATATAGTTGTTCGCATGCAAAGTACTCGTCCGAGAGTAGATTACAAAGAACAGGAAGACGGAAAATTATACCGAAAAGAGGCCAGAAGGAAAATCGATAACTACTTTGCGCTTTCAACTTGTATAACATGTTTAAGACGAGAAAGCCAAAGGCTCCACCTCAGACCTGATGTCATGAGGCGCACGCTCAAAGTCCGACGGTTTCACACCGACTCTACAGGACAAGATTTAGTGGATGCAATCGAACCTCGCAGTGGGAATGAGTGCGACCACCAACTCAACATACGTGCGGAGTCTTTCTAATGTCGTCACACTACAGCTCGGATGGTTAATTGATCACGTGGCAGCAAACGGGTCCATAACAAATGTTATGTTAGGCATTGACGATAGCTTCAATAGTTTCTTCACCTGTTTGCAAGTTTGTGACTGACTGGGTATATTAATGAAACGTGCTACTCGATTATTCCATGCAGAGAGGTGTGCAGGTTCCCCTGAACGGTTTGTAAGATCCCACATGAATCAGAACCTGGAAAAAATCACTATTCATGCGATGAATGTTTCGGAATTTATGGCCGACGCCCGCTTAATTTCAGATATCATAGGGTATAGGCAAGAATAAGGAAGGCGAGGAAAATGCCGTAGGTGGTGTTGTCGACAAGACAGAGATTCCCAAATCAGAAGTCAGGGAAGACGGTTTGAGTTGGACAACCTTTACTGATGCAGAGGTGCGTATACCAAACGCTGTAAGCAGCCGCCGCGTGCGCTCACCAAGCAAGTTGTTTTGTCTGTGGTAGGGGGCGCTCACCGATCGTTCTTACGGAACTCACTCGTTCCTTTGTATCTTATAGGCTCTCTCTCGAGCCCAACCAGCAGCCGCACAGCGGCGCATGATATAGGCAGAATGGCATTACCGACAAAGACAAGGGAGACTGAAATGGCCATTTCTGGATTATTGGCCGTCGTCAGCCAGTCATACCCAACGCCGAAGCGTGAAACACCCGAGGCTAGAACCCGCGACCTGCTAGTTAGAAGTCCACGCCTCTAACCACTGGGCAACGAGCCCGTTTCCCTGTCGGTTTTCGATCGGGCGTTCCACATTTCGGTTTTGGGTATGACTGGCTGACGACGGCCAATAAGCCAGAAATGGCCATTCCAGTCTCCCTTGTGTTTGTCGACAATGCCATTCTGTTTTGTCTGTGTCCGCCTTCGAGGTGCTGAGACCCAGCGCGTGTGTGCGCCTTTCGTTGTCTCAGCGTCCGCCCGCCAATCAGAGGGGGGACAGCGTTGATTGGCCGGGAGTACTCGCGAGGCTAGTGACAAGCCTCGCGCCTCGCAGCAGCGTATCGACAAGAAGTGTGAGGCGGACTGGAAGGCAGCTCGACAAAGGCGGAGGACAAGGAGACGCGGACTGCCACAGGAACACAAATGACTATTTGTGCCTTACTGACTCTGGCCGATCACAATAGTTTAACGTCAGGCCTATAGACACGACCAGGGACTTGAACTCCAGCTTCCTTAATACTGAGCATTGACATCAAACTACAGGCTCACTGCCCTGCCGCCTGTAAACGAGAATATTAATTTTCATAGAAGTAGCGCCCCAAGGGCAAAGAGGGACGCCACTTCCATATGAAATAAAAAGTGGTATTAGTTTGGCACCTTGAGGAAGGTTGCCTCCTCCTGAAATGTATTACCGGGTGCTAACTTCCATGCGACCGTCTCTACAGGCTCTAGATTGTGAGGTCCAAAGCTAAATGGAAATAAGTGTACCGAAAACATGATACCAAACATGCACATTCCCGATCTCAGCCGCCAGCTGGTGAGCTCGGTAATTCAAGTGAGGAGAGCGTCGGACATAAATGTCCGATCTAGGTTCACAGCCTGGACGCGCCAACTGTGGTGAAAGTGAATAAGCCAAAAATTGAAATCTGGGCATCTGCCGTCTTGGTGGCGGACATTTCTTGAGTGTCAATTGTCATTCGCAATGCCACTGTCTCCATGGCCACTAGATCCAGATTTCTGGAACAAAACTAAATCGTCCCGCACTCTAACCATGCAATCAGTAAAACCCGTGACAGTTAAAGTGCCGCATATTTTGTTTACGAAATTCCACACACCTGGTCTATTTCGCAAGCTGTGCATAAAGCATATCAGTTATTCCCGGGCTATTACAATCTGCTATGAGCCAGAGGAGCATATCCAGTTCGTCAGGTGAAGTCCCGATGACACTGGCTTACAGTATGGCAACAAAT